GTCTTTTGCAAAGTTGTTCAGGAAGTCATGATTTTTTCGTTGGTGGACAGTTGTTCAGTTCAGTTGTTTTCTCACTACTCGGTGCTAGTATACACATGCAATTCTCGCATATACAATAGCTCGAGATCCTGAGCAGATAGAAAGTTAATGTTTTCGGCAAACTTGTTCCGGAGATCAAGATTTTTTGGCTGGTGGAGTAGCCCAGAATTTTCTCACCACGTGGCGCTAGTAAACGTGTACAATTCTCGCGTATGCTATAGCTCGAGATTCTGAACAGGTAGTACATTACTGTTTTCGAAAAAGTTGTTCGTGAGGTCAATGCCTATTGCTTGGTGCACAATAGTTCAGAATTTTCACACTACGTGGCGTTAGTATACGCGCTAAATTCTCGCATGTAAAATATTCTGATCAGATAGATTTCGCTAGTGGACAGTAGTTCCAAATTTTCTCACTACGTAGCGCTAGAATACACGTCAAATTCTCGCATGTGGTTTGTTTCGAAATCCTGATCAGATAGCAAGTTACTGTCTTCGACAAAGTTGTTCAGGAGGTCAAAGCCTATTGCTTGGAGTACAAAAAGTTGAGAATTTCCTTAGCGGCGCTACTATACACGTGAAATTTTCACATATAAAATATCACGAGATTCTGACCAAATAGAATGTTACTGTCTTCGGCAAAGTTGTTCAGGGAGCCAAGGCCTTTTGGCTGGAGGACAGAAATTTTTTTTTTTTCACATTGCGCTTGTATACACGTGCAATTCTCGCATTAGATATATTTCGAGATTGCTAAACTGTCATCGGCAAAGTTGTCCAGGAGATTAAAACTTTTTCGTTGGTCGACAGTACAGAATTTTCTCACTACGCGGTGCTAGGATATACATGAAATCTTCGCATATTTAATATCTTGCGATCCTGAACAGATTGAAATTTACTGTATGTGGTAAAGCTGTTAAGGAGATAAAGATTTTTTGGCTGATGAACAGTAGTTCAGAAATTTCTCAAAAGTTGGCGGGCAATTCTCACATATCAAATATCATAAAATAAAAAATACAATTTATATCAGCCTAAGTGGGATAAGACAAATATATTCTGGATTTCTTTTCGTTCCACTTGTATACCTCTGATAAATTAGTGGTAACACGTATCTCAGATGGAAAACATTATCTTAAAAGATCAATATAACTGAAAATTCAACCAAATGAATGTTTAGAGTCAATTTCATTTAGACTAATTTCAAAATGACTTATCGAGGGGTCTAGAACAAAAAAAAAAATCCCTGTATTTACGTGTGCACGGACAACGAGACTAACTCAGAGAGTGAGGCACTTTTGCTCAGTTAAATATAGAAATTTATAAAACCGTACACTCCTGATCATAAGTTTAAAGACACCCCCTAAAAACATCCAATTTTCGTTCTTTTTAGAACATTTGAAATATTTGAATGGAAATACGAAGAGCCAAATTGCTCAATATCATTTTCAAATTTTGTATATCAAAGGTTCACCTTAAGTTACACTATTTTTCAAAATTTACTCTGAAGAATCATGATTAATTTTCTCAGAATTGAATTGAAAAAAAAAATAAATTAAAAGTAGTAGCAGAACCCTTATGCTTTACCATTCATACCATTCAAATAACCTAAGGAGATCAAAAATTGGACGTAAAATGAGAGAGCTTTGAACAAAACACATTTGCATGTTCATCATCCGGAAGAACTTTGCCGCATGTACAACTTTGACGATGACAGCTACTTCCTGACCTTAAGCTATAGCATATACAAATATTTTACATGCATACTAGCGCCACATACCGAAAATATTCTGAACTATTCACTGTTCACCAGTAAAAAAGCTTTGATCTCCTAAACAACTATGCCGATCATTGTAATTTTCTAGCTGTTCGGGATCTGGAGCTGTTGCATATATGAAGATTGCACGTGTATACTAGCGCAGCGCAGTGCGAAAAATTTGAACTACTGTTCACTAGCCAAAAGACCTTGACCTCCTGAACAACTTGGCACAAGACAGTAACTTTTTATTTGGTCAGGATCTCGAGATATTTTATACGTGAAAATTTCACGTGTATACTAGCGCCACAGGGTGAGAAAATTCTGAAACATTGTGCACCAAAAAATAGGCTTTAACCTCCTGAACAACTTTGTTTGCGACAGTAACTTTCTATCTGGTCAGGATCTCGAGATATATCACAGGCGAAAATTTCACATTTCACTAACACTACGTAGTGAGAAAGTTTTGAACAACTGTCCACGAACAAAAATTTTGTGATATCCTGAACAACTTTGCCGACGACAGTAATTTTCTATCTAGTCAAGAACTTGAGATATTTTATATGTGATAATTCCACATGTATACTAGCACCATGAAGTAAGAAAATTCTGAACTACTGTCCACCAGCCAAAAGACCTTGACCACCTGAACAACTTTGTCGTAGACAGTAACTTTCTATCTGATCAGGGTCTCGAGATATAGCATATGCGAGAAGTTTACATGTATACTAACGCCACGCGGTGAGAAAATTCTTAACTACTGTTTACCAGCCAAAAAGTCTTGACCTCCTAAACAACTTTGCCGAAGACAGTAACTTTCTAGCTGATCAAGATCTCGAGCTATTGAATATGCGAGAAAAGCACGTATATACTAGTGCCGCATAGTGAGAAAATTCTGAACTATTGGGCACCAAGCAATAGACTTTGACCTCCTGAAAAACTTTGTCACCCAACAAAAAGATCTTGATTTTCTGAAAAACTTTGCCGAATACATTTACTTTCTATCTGGTCGGGATCTAGAGATATTTGATATGCAAGAGTTTCACATGTATAGTAACGCCGCAAAGTGAGAAAACTCTGAACTACTGTCGACCTGCGAAAAAGCCTAGACCTCCTGAACAACTATGCCGAAGACAGTACCTTTCTATCTGGTTGGGCACTCGAGATATTTTTCATGAAAATTTCACGTGAATACTAGCGTCGCGTAGGGAGCAAATTCTGAACTATTGGGCACCAAGCAATAGACTTTGACCTCCTGAAAAACTTTGTGAAAGACAGTAACTTTCTAGCTGGTCAGGATCTCGAGATATATGTCATGCGAGAATTTCACATGTATACTAGCGCTACGTAGTGAGAAATTTCTGAACTACTGTCCGCCAGCCAAAAATACTTGACTCCTTGAACAAGTTTTCCGAAGACAGAAGCTTTCTATCTGCTCTGGATCTTGAGCTATTGTATATGAGAAAATTGTACGTATATACTAGCGCCACGTAGTGAGAATTTTTTGAACTACTCCACCAACGAAAAAATCTTGACTTCCTGAAAAACTTTGCCCAAGACAGTAACTTTCTATCTGGTCAGAATCTCGAGATATTTTGTATGAGAATTTCACGTGCATACTAGCGCCGCGTATTGAGAAAATTTTGAACTATTGTGCACCAAGAAATAGGCTTTGATCTCATCAACGACTTTGTCGACGACTGTAACTGGTCATGATCTCGATATTTATCACATGCGATAATTTCACATGTATTCTAGCGCTACGTAGTGAGAAAATTCGGAACTACCATGGATCGGAAATATAAGTAGTCAATATTCATCAAACAATTGTGTTTTGAACCACTAATCTTTAAACTTTCCTTTCAAATTACCTGCGCATTATTCAAGCGATAGTAATTCGGAAACAATTCTATGAGGAATATACTTTCCTTTTATAGAGCAGAACATGGAAAATATGTACCGCACTGTGCATCGGCGCCGTCTGTGACAAGTTTTAAGAGAATGCCATTCTGAGGAACTCTTCTGTTGTTTAGCTGTTGTTTAGAACTGGTTGTTTTCCGAGTTTCCCTGTCTTACCTCGACTAAAAACTGTATCGCTCTACATGTATGGTTATTGTAAGATTTCGAAGCACTCAAATTCCACGTCAATCCAAAATTCCCTGCTACACTAGGATTAATTAGTTCCAATCATCATCAGTAGGGAGACCCTACTGGGGTTTTTCGTGAAGAGAGGTACTGTGAGAACATAGCTTACCGCTGTATAAGAAAAGCGTGAATGAATATTTACTACCCTTGCTTGGAATATGTTCATTCTTATGATAAAATCGTTATTCCAACTAGCTCCAAGAATATATTAAGTGACACAAGAAACTATTTGAAATACTAAATCATCAGTGATTGATACCAAATTGTTTCCAAAAACGGGCGCACTGTGCATCTCACAACTTCTAATTGTTCTGCATTCACACGACCAATCGCAGTCCATTGACCATAACTGCTAACGATCATTCAATTATGTCTAACCGAATTAAATTACAAACCCATTTCCGTAACTAACGATCGATAGCACCGCGCGAATCCCACAGCGTACTGAGATTATCGTGCCGCTCTTCAGCATCTTCTCAGCTCGAGCGCGAGCTGCAAACGTAATCACTTGCCAAGCTCCAAGATTAAGACGCTGCGCTGGCTGAGAAGCTGCACTACCCGAGCAGTGCTTGAGAAACAAGACGAAAATAAAAATTCAGCTGATCATCTCCCCAAATCAGCCGTGACGAAGAGGAGTATTATGCTCCACCAAATAGCAAACTTCTCACTCTCACGTGGCTCATAGATCGCGCGTCTTCCACAGGTGGGTCGGTACGTATCTCCTTGGAACCAATGCTTCGTGCCTGATTCGGTTTCACTCTCGTTCACCAAAAGCCCCGTCGCGCTGTCTCGTGCGGAGAAGGGGCCTCATCTAGAAGTGAGCAGCAGCAGCAGCAGAAAAAAAATCTCCCCTAACCCCCGCGCTGAGATTGGTGGTGGGCTTTCCGTGTGTGTGGGACCCACTGTCTGTCGACGCTTCTTCTCACCCGATTCTGGCTGCCCAGGGGGGTCGCGACTGCTCTTCGGGCTCCGGGCGCGAGTCTCTAAACAAACGAAAAATTGCAGTTTTGTTTAGTTTTCGGTATAAAAGTGACGATTACTCCGATTTGAATATCATTCAGTTAAGTACATCGGTTCGGTTCATTAGTTTTTAAGAAACACAACACTAATCCGTTCCCCGTTCCGAGGATTACACGTTCATCAACCGTTTGAAGCATTCTTGGTAGCAGTGTTGGAAGACCAGCCTACTGCCAGAGACCAGCAGCCGTCGATTCCTGAGGAATAACCATCGAAGTAAGCCATCGATCTCTGAGCTTCTAGAATGGGGCATGTTTTGTGCCAGACAAGTGCAAAGTTTTCCGCTGAAAACTGTTCCAAACGAGATTTTCCCGCGCTAAACGAGTGATTTATCCAACGAAAACGGAAAATTGAATTTGTGCTTTAATGGGATGAACTATTTATTTTGTATGTGCAAACGGGAAAACTTTTACGTATGCAGCTCAGTGCACCAAGAACAGTGTGTGGGTGGGAGTGTGATAAAGGATGATAAAATTACAGTTTGAAAAGTGACTCGGGGCTTCGGGAAGCCCAGTGCGGATCTTCCAGTGACTGTGATTGAAAAAAAGTTTTCATCCCATTGTAGAAGGAACTGAACTGGATGTACGCCAATTAGCTGGCGGTTGTAGAACCGAGTGCACTGAGTTGAATTCATTCTTCCGGTTGCGCTGCATGGACTGGGATTTTGGTGTTTGTGAACGTTGTTTTTGGCTATGGGTGTTTAGCAACTGTGCCTTGCGAGGTTATGCATCTTTCGTAAAATATGTACTGTTATGAATGTTGATCCGGCTCAAACTCTGAACCTCAGCCATTTGGCTGGATTGTTCAACTTGTGTGGCTAGATTTAACTCAGAAAGTGTTGCAAACATCCTCTGTTTAAGACGTATAGGAAGAATTAATAGTATTACTTGTGCTTTAAAATTTAAAATGTAAAATTTTCATTCGTAACGAAATATTTTAGCACACATATTTACAGCATCATGTAATGAGTCAGGAAATTAGTGTGCCGTTAAAACTCTCGTTCAGTAAATAATTTAATTTTTAAAAAAATTATCAATGTCAGCCTAAAGCTTTTAAATTCCAGACATGTTTTTATTTTTTTCTGGTTTTGATCGCACGAAAAAACCGAGCACCGACTTTTAATAATTTGAAAAAAAAATAACACTCTTAAACAATATATTTTTTTTTATATCTTTATTAAGGAGACTTTCAGCCGTTGGCAAACAATATATATTTTCTATCTGCACTTCTGCTATAGAGAATTAAATCAATCCATACGGCAACGTAAACAATTGTACATATGTATTCACTTTGTATCTGTGGAATCGGTTTTGGTAGCTAAATAATAAGGAATGCTTGTTTAATTGTTAAGATGAATGAAGCACACTAGTTGCATTAGTCAGTGGCATAGAACAGTTTGTTAATCTTAACCATAGTGTGATCATAACTGTTGAAAAGCTTGAAATGTTTGCTCCACAGTGCTCAAACGGATCCAAATTGGTTCTTGAGCGTTTTCCTGGAATTCACTTTCCTCTTGGATACAACGTTCTAGCACTAATGAGTTTAAGTGTTTGATGAATGTCAGATTAATCAGAGGTTTTACTAGCTCCAGAAAGTCATAAAGGAAATCCAATTTTCATGTCTGAAAAGGATTTTTCAATTTAAGCTAAGTCATGAAATTTTATTCCATCCGTCCGTGGTTTTGCACAAACAGCAGTTCACATAGCCATTGAGAACTAACCAATAATGGTAAGAATTTAATCGTTTTTGGAAAAGTTCGGTTAGACGTTACCAAGTTAAAATATTAATCTTTTTTTCAATCTAGTTAGGATCATTTTTCATTTGTTAACGATACAGTAGGGTTCAATTTTCGCAATATTTGGCAGCTTTCTAAAAAAAATATAATTGCTAAGCTGTTTATTTTAACACGATCAAAATTTCTAAATTATCTGGAAAATCTATAGAAAATATAAATTAGAGTGTAATTCTATGCATCTAATCTAATCTAATCTAATCCAACACCAACACAGCCAGTTCTTGAAAGCATCCTGGAAAATGAAATATATATATATATATATACCAACATCATTTTTCTTGTCTATTTGATATATGTTTCACCTCAAAGATGCGTCACACATATCAAAACGGCCAGGCCTACTGTGGAGCATTTAAGGGGCAAGATGATTCAGAAAACATTCAGATCAGGTTAAGCTAATATGAAATATCACTAAAAGAGTCCCCAGGATCAGCCCTTGTGGTTCGCTTCTCCGTGACGTCGTGGCAAACAATTTTGAATTTATGAGGGTTCTGTAGACCATGAATTAGATTTGTAGCATACTTTAAAACCTCGATAATACTTACAATATTACTTGGGATATTAGCTGATTAAACAAAACATGCAGCCTTTATTGTAACTAAATACAACTAGAAAAAATTAACTAATAATTTACTTTGTTACTTCAACTGCCATTTTCTCAATCTTTTAAATTTGTCGATCCTCTTAACGGAATCCCTTTATGAAGAGCTTTGAGTGTGTTGGTTTATTTCCTTTTAATTCCGTTATAATTGCTAATCTTTTGAAAGATACGCGTATTTCGTCTACTACTTTCAGACTTCATCAGTGCCAAGTGGTGTTGAGTACTTGGCACTGATGAAGTCTGCAAGTAGTAGACGAAATACGCGTATCTGTCAAAAGATAAGGAATTATAACGGAATTAAAAGGAAATAAACCAACACACTCAAATCTCTTCATTTTCTCAATGCCTACTTTTTTCTATATGGGACTGATATGGGATTATAGGCAGTGTAGTGAGAGCACAGACAAACACCCAAGCAACCCACATGTCCTATAACAGTTTATATAATCTTTGTATGACTAGTTTTGGTTGTGTAGCAGTTTACTCAACATAATTCTGTGAATGTGTGTTACTCGGGCAGACATAACACATCGTCGCTTAAACATTACCGTCATATGTTGAGTACACTGTAGTGGGTAGTACGCTGAAAAGATGGCAGTAGTGTGAAAACGTCAAACGCAAGGGAATTGACTATGCGCGCCACAGGTGGCGGTACTACCAACTACAATACTTTTAAATTGACCGTTAAATGCTTGTTCCATGAACAACTTGTGAGTGTTATGTCTTGAGCATGAAAACTTATAATTCGAGCTGAGCTCATCCGAAGCAATCCTCGTCGTCAGTGATGAAACGAAATAATGTATATATAGCTAGCATAATCCTTACAATTTAAGAGTAATGGAATATTGCTCACCTATTACAATAACGAATCCCGCTCGTTGCATCAACGCAGTTCTATCAGTCTGCACTTAAATGTTGCCACAGTACAGTTAAAGTCGAAGAGGATGTAGAATTTGTTGAACCTAACCTAATTCCATTCAAACCTAACCTCACCAATTCACTACTATGGGGATTCAGATGGCCAATAATTGAAAATTGATTTACTCCAACTCAACGGAGGAAACCCTAGTAGTAATAAATCGGATATTCGACTCCTGGCTGCATTTTTCTTCTTTCTAAAATCAGCCTACACATTCAAAAGTAAACATTTAAACATTGGCCATTTTTTATCTACAAAAAGGCTAGATACTACCATTATTTTGCATACTGACGGAAAGTTAAAAAAATTCAGCCCAAACATTTCAAAAGGCCGAAATACATGTTGTAAACAATGGGTTTGTGCTTGACTTGGCTCTCTCGCACAAAAGTTCACACATGCAAAGTATCGACACTATCAGGTAGATGAATGTTGCCTCTACCAGCTGGTATCGTTAATTTGCAGAAGTGAGCTTTAATTTGCGAGAAATCGTTGTATACAAAAGCAGTTTTGCCCGAATGCAATGTTGTCAGTGAAATTTGGTTCTATATAATTTTCAATTAATGAAATATATTGTAATCCACATGGTTTCAGTTCAAAAAAGCATTGTTAAAAGTCACAATTTCTTCACAAAAGGGACCGTTCAAAAATGACGTAAGCAATTTTGTTTCCCTAAAAAAAAGGGCCACCTTGTTAAACGTGCTTCACGAGGCTCTCTTGAGATTCACTCATAATGTTTTTCTGGGCATTGATTAAGACCAGTGCTGATAAAAATCATTTCTTGCACACTCAACCACAGAGAACAGACATCCAAGCTTAAACAATTTTTTCGTAAAATTATGCGTAAGAATTAAAATTTAAATTGGGTTTGAAACACTAGCGCTGCCATACGGAATGTTGCGACTCGAGTTATCACTTTTGCAATTAATGAGTAAACTGAACTGAAATTTGGATTGATATTTTTGACCGCGTATCCAAATGAGCTGTCAAATCAGTTCAAAACAAACAAAACAAAACAACGGAAATTAATCGAGCTTCTGCGGAACCATTATTTTCGAATAAAAAACTAAGCTATTTTACAGTTTCCTGTAGATCTACAACTGCTTTTCGTTCCAATTTCAACTGGGCATAGTAGTCAGGAGCAAAATTGACTTTTGTTGAGTTCACTGGCGGCGTATCTTCAAATGATTAACTTCAATTAGCCCTCATTTAAATTCAGAAAATTGTGGTAAGATTTGAACACTGCTTACCCTGCATCCGTTCTTCCAGGAATTCAAAAAGCCTCCGGGGGAAGTGGTCGGAACATAACTTTTTCGTTGCAAGCGCTTGGACTCCACGTGAGAAGAAAATCTCCTGTAGTTCGGGCAATGCAACGTCCTTAGGAAAATGGTGAAAAGATTTTCGCTTGGTAACACCTTTCGACGTCGATGGGCTGCGGCACTAGCGCCACCACGATATTGCTAGTATCAAATGTCTATTCAAAATAGCAGTTGAATTTCTTACACACATTAGGAATTTGATTTGGATGTCTGTTGTCTGTGACTCAAGTTTGCTAAAAATAAAGACAACCTTAACATGCCAACTACCTGCATGAATTTGAATTTTGACATAACAGAATTTTTTGATCAAGGCAACCTCTTAGCACAGACAAACAGACGTAACTCTTCATTGTGTATCTTCGTTTACGCATTTAACGGTTGATTTGAATATTATCAGTTCCGCGAACTACTCGTCGCAGCGCTGGCATCGGATCACTTTGACATTTCTATACATTCTATAAAACTTTTATGCAATATTGTTTGCGAGTTAGCGAGCAAACTTGTTTTCCGCGAGAAGCCCGAGAGATGTCGTTACTGAGATCCTATGTTTTGAGATACTATGTTTTCAAGAAAAACTTTTTCAAA